GCATGCATTTCCTGTGGTTGGATAGCTCAGCAATTTGCAGGGCCTATAGGTGGACGAGGTGTGGGTGGAACTGTCTGTGTGTTGGCTCACCTTGTGCTCTGGGGTGTCTCCAGGGTGCGCCCCCAGGAGGTGCCAGATTGAGGGGGTGTGAGCATGTGCCCTGAGGGGGTGCCAGATTGAGGGGTGTGAGCATGCACCCCAAGGGTGTGCTGGATTGCGAGGTGTGAGCATGCACCCTGAGGGGTGCTGGGTCCAGGGGTATGGCTGTGCGCCCTAAGGGGGTCCTGGATTGAGGGGTGTAGGCACGTACGTGGAGGGCATGCCACATCAAGGAGTGTGAGCCTGCATCCTGAGGGTGTGCGGGATTGAGGGGTGTGAGCGTGTGCTCTGAGGGCATGTGAGATCGAGGGGTATGAGTGTGTGCCCCGAGGGTGTGCTGGATCAAGGGGTGTAGGCATGCACCTCGAGGGCATGCTGGATTGAGGGGTGTGAGCATGCGCCTGAGGGCGTGCGAGATTGAGGGGTGTGTGCCCCAAGGGTGCGCTGGATTGAGGGCTGTGAGTGTGCGCCCCAAGGAGATGCTGGGTCCAGGGGCAAGAGCGTGATCCTTTGCAGGAGTGGCTTCTCATACTTTGGGTTCTGCTACTTGGAGGGGAGAAATGGCCTCATGGTGAGGGACAGTTCGTGAAGTGGAATGTGCAGTCGGGTTGTGGGTTGTCTGTCTGGTCACTTCTTTGACCCATTTTTCTGTGGTGATTTTTGTGAGTGAGGGTACCTGTTCTCCCTTGGGACAGTGTGTGACACCTCTTCCTGCTCTGCAGTCTGCCTTTGACCCACACCCCTGTGTTTGGCCTTGTCTTTATCTGCTGTGGCAGCCGAAGGAAATGCCAAATGAACGTCAGACTCCTATCCCTCCAGGTGCTGGAGCCGCAGATGGGTTCCCAGTGGGGCCCCACATTGCAGCTGCTGCCCTGGTGTGTGTGTGTAGGGGTGTGTAGGAGTGTGTTGGTGTGTGTGTGTGGAGGGCGGGAGGTCTCTCTCCCCTCCTCCCCTTCTTGCAAGGACACTAAAAACACCTCCCAACACTTTCATCGGATTTGTGTCACCTCCCAGAGGCACCCCCAACCCCACCGCAAGTGGTGTTTTCACCCATGGGCCTTGGGGGACACAGACCTTGGCCCAGGGTGTCTTGGCCACCTCAGCACCGTTTTTCTTGTAGGCAGATCTGCCTGCCTTGATGTCTGTTATGTCTTGATTTGAGGTGTCCTAGGAGAGCCCATCCTATTCCTGCAGGGGTTCATCGTGTCCACTTTCACCTTTATGCTCAGAGCGTTGGTGCCATCCTGCCTCCCAGGGTCACTTACTGGGGAGACCCCGCATGCCACTGTGGTTTCGGTGCCTCGTCGTGGTGCGTGAGTGTCTGCCGTTCATTGATATGAACTGGATGTGTCTTAAAGCAATCCACATTTATTCTCTCAGCTCTGGAGGCCACAGATTGACAATCAGCTGCAAATGGGGGCCGAAAGCAGTGGGCCTACAGGGTGGGGTTCCCTCTAGAGGCTCCAGTGAGGGTCCCTCCTGCCTCTAACAGGTTCTGGCGCCTGCTGTCCTCCCTCTGTTCATGGCCGTGTTGCTTCAGCTTCTGCCTTCGCATGCACAGGGCCTTCCCTCTGTCTCAAATCTCTGTCCTGCTTTCTAAGGACACTTGTCGTTGGATTTGGGGCCTACCTGGATAATCTAGGTCTCCTAATCTCATAATACTTAATTATGTTTGCGTGGACCCTTTGTCCAAATCAGGTCACACAGGGTCCAGGGATTAGGCTGAGGACTTGCCTTCTTGAAGCCACCATGGCACCCACCCTAGAGAACCTGGTTTACAGCATTCCCAGAGGTCAGGGTCCCTTGTCTGTTTGGGCTTTGCCTGGTGACTTGGTGCAGCTCTTCTGTTCCTGAAGAACCTGGCTTTTTATATATAACCCAGGTATACTCTTTTGGCCTCTTGTATATTATGTGGTGTTATAAATAAAAGTCTAAATGGGGAACAAGTCAATATTTTTTTTCTCTTTTCGGTTTATATTTCTTTTCTTGAAGCCAAACCCAATTGGGCGGATAAGATGTTATAAAGCAACTGATTTTATCTCAACCACTAGATTCACTGACAGGAAGAGCCTTGTTTTGTTGACCAGTTAAATAGTTGCTTTTCTTCTGCCCACCTGCTTGGATGCACCTGACCTGCTCAGAGCCAGGGACCTAGCTGGGGGGATTCGAGGTGTGTGAAATTGAGGAGGTTCTCACTTGCAGGTGTCACCCCAGCCTGGCAGAAGAGGGCACAGGCTGATAAATTGCCACCAAGCCCTAATTGTCACAGAAATCTTTGCAAAGGAGTGATCAGTGACTCGCTAGCCGTCTCTTCTTGTTGTAGCTGTTAGAGACGAAAGTGAGGGGAAATGGATATGTGTATAACTGACAGGTACTCCGCGTAGGGGAGAGCCATTATCGATTGAGAACTAGGAAACCAGAGGGACTGTGAAATTGGAAAACTGCCTATCAGAATCGCCTAATTTGAAAGGCTAAACCAGAAGACTTGCACGAATAGCATGTGTCATGCTTGGATACATACTTTATCTTATTTTTTTTTTTAGTTTAAAAAATTTTAAAAAGATTTTATTTATTTATTAGAGACACAGAGAAAGGCAGAGAGAGAAGCAGGCTCCATGCAGGGAGCCCGATGTGGGACTTGATCCTGGGACTCCAGGATCATGCCCCCAGCTGGAAGGCAAATGCCTAACCGCTCAGCCACCCAGGTGTGCCATTTTATTTTATTTTTGATCCAGTAATAAACTGGATTTTATAGGAGAAGGCTGTTTATAAAAGTAGTCCAGAAATGGTTGAATCACATGGTTTTTTAGTGTCCAGTTTTGCCAATACATTTATAGTAATTTTGTTTTTAAAGAGCAGTGAGTTTATAGTCAACTTTGCACAGTTGCTCAGCACCATTTTATGTCACTGTCATCAGCTAACGGGATGAAGAGCGGCAGGCATTGGCTACATATTTGACACGTTTGAAGTGTGGCAGAGTCATATGCTTAGGCTTCTTACTTTGCTGGTTCTTTGTACTTTCAGGATTGGTGTTTTTTTCTCATTGAACTGGCAGGGACCCGGTTACCCCTGTGACCCAGGCATATGTGGTGGGAGCCTAGCCTGTGATCTGAAGTTGGGCTCCAGTAAAGAATGAGAACAGGCCCTGCTGAAGTGAGGTTGGTCCACTTACAATGGGGCTTCAGGAAAAGAGATTAATTCAAGACCACACACTGACTCTGGACATTTATCCCCATGTGACTAGGGATACAGCAGGCTGGGAGACTACCTGACTAAGGAACAGTCTGGATAGTCTGACTTGGGTGAGATGAATGTGCTTCCTTTTCCATGTTGGATGCTTCTCATGGATATGCTCGGCTGGGGTGTGGCCTGGCTGACCATTGAGCCATCTGCATTGGGTTCTGGCCAGAGTCCTTTTGTGTATGTGTGCCACAGTCTGCCTTGGACTCAAGCTCAGTCAGTCCTGCCCATGCCACAAGTCCGTGCCACAATGGCACGGCAGCTCACCCACGCCCAGCAAGTAAGCGGGGTCTGTTGGGAGCCTTAGCAGCTCTGCCGGAGTCTTGCCTTACTCTGTGGCTTCCGATACAGCTCTCTTCTCCTTGGGGACGATGTCCTTTACCATCAGATGAGGTGTGGGCTTCCAACCCTTCTAAGAGCTCGAGGCCCCCTCCTTGTAGGCTGCCCAGCCTCCCCAGCACGTGGCCCCCATTGAGAGGGCTGTTTGGGTTCACAGATGTGGCTGGTGGTTTAGAGCATCAGAGGGCTTTGGTCCCTCAGCCACCTGGATACCACACGGAGTCACCCAGTTCCTTTGCTGTCCTCATCCCAGAGGGGCACAGACAGCTGTCTGCCACCTGTGAAGAGGGCATTAAGAGGTGGAATGCTGTGTGCATGCTCCAGGTACTGCCTACACCTTCAGGTTTTCCTCCTCCCACATCACCACTGAGGTGGGAGTCAGGGCGACAGGTGTGGCTGCTGCCTCCTTGGGCTGGATAGTTTCAATGTGACTGGTCAGGACAGCTGTGCTCTGAGGCTGGAAAACACCTGCCTGGGCTCTTGCCAAGTGCCCCATGGCCTCTTCCTGGGGTCCTGACGTGCTGCCTCCCAAGGAACCTGCGGCATCTGTCAGAGCTGGGGTCTCTGATGTTGCCTCCCCCAAGGCGGCAATCGCAAGTCTCACTGTCCAGCTGAGCAGGGGTTCCAGGCCTGGAGTGTGACTTTATTCTTAATTCTTTCTGGGTGAATGGATGAAGGTGGTGCCATTAAAACTGCTGAGTTGAGCCCTGAAACCGGTTTCCTTAGTGTCCTCATTACTTTCACTTGGTCAGTGATAGAGAAGGCAGAAGAAGGGACGGTGCAGAAAATTGGACCTGGCCAACTTCCCAGATCCATGGAGAGTCACGTATATGAAATCTACCATTCATTATGAGCAAAAGGTGGTTGGAGAAAATGTGTGCAAATAATACCAAATTGAACTTCCATGGGCATTCTTCATTATTTTCCAGTTTCCTGTCACTAACACCAAGTGTCATTCCTAGTATTTTCCTAATGGATGTGGGCAGATGTAGTCAAGATACAGCATGCTTATAGATCTGCACAATAGCCTCGGGGGAACGGGAGGGATCAGAAGGATGGTGTTGGTCTTTAAAAGAAAAGCTGCTACTGCCTTGAGCCAGAAGAAAGATCAGTATAGGAAAGGGTACTGGTTAGGTTGGAGGCTGCTTCCCTGCCCCCGTGCCCCAAGCTTCCATGTTGCCCTCCTCCTGGTCTGGTTCCTTCTGTGTGATCCCTGCTTGGCTGCACTGCTCCCTAGTGACGTTTGCAGCGTTGGTTTGGTGGTAAGTCATGGTGGGTTTGGTGGTAAGTCATGTACCAATGTGCCTCATTTCCCTTCTTAGGCAGCCTCAGTCACCTCTTTGTCCAGTGTGGCGTGTATGCACATAGTTCGCTGGGCTGTTTGGAACCCCTTGCTGGAATCTGGCTCCGGGAAGGTGATCTTACCTCTGCAGGGTGGGATCCGGCCCAACCCCTCACACTGTTTGGTCTATAAAGTAACCCCTGCCAGCATGAGCTCTGAAGAGGTAAGTTGTTCAGACTTACTTTATAAGTATGAATCTTTGCCTGTGAGCTTCCAGCAAGTCCACACATTTTCAAAACCAGAAGTTGACAGATATGTTTGTGGATATGTGATGAACAGAATTTTTTTCATGTCATGGACGTGCCCTTAAAGGACAAGCATGATTGCTGAGTCATAGTTGGCTGTGAACTCACTGAGGCAGGTTTTATCTCGGGGCTTAGGACATCCCCATTCACACATAAGTCTCAACAAGATGGCCTGTGGTTTTTATTTGTATGCACTGTGCAAACAGCATCTGCTTCTGTGCTATATGTGTCTTTTCAAAAAGGACTCTTGGAACCTTTTGCTATGGAGAATGAGCTTTGGTGGTACCAGGGTTGTGGTCAGTGCCTGGCAATTGGTGTTGAGCCCGGTGCATCTCTGTGACTTGTTACTCTTGCCCACTGGCCCTTGGCTCCTTCCCAGCTTTGCATGGAGGGCGGGCCACAGCAGGAGTTTTTAAAATCCATGTTTGGAATGAAGCTATCTCCAAAACCCCGGTGGAGAAGACAGGTAAAGGGTGGCAGGGCCAGTTGAAGTGTGAGTGAGGGGTCTCCTGCCAGGGAGCTGCAGGTACCCCACGCAGGAAAGCACTGCTCTGGCTGGCCCATCCTGATGCCAGTGTCACGCAAGGGTGCTTGGTTCTCCCAGTTGCACTCCTGTACTACGCTCTGCTGTTTCAGCAGTGTGGCTGGGAGCCGTCTACAGCTCAGTTGTCTCATTTTTCTCAGGTGAAAGGACCATCCCTGGTATTCCATGCATCATCTGTGTGCTGACTCTCGCCACAAATGTTATTTTCAATGTTATTTATGATGTGGGTGATGCTTTGGGGACCTGGATCAAGAACAGCTGATTGTGCAGCTTCCCTTCTTATAAGGATGTCTCATTATGGGAGCACATTTTGCTGCCTTCCCCCATGGACTTGTCTGAGCCCTTATTATAAAACTGCCGTGAGAGATCCTAGAGCCATTGCCTCTGTCTCTCCCTCTCTGGATGTATATGTGTATGTATTTAAATATATATCTATTCTATTTAACTTTAGCCTTGTCATGCCACTACATCTCCTTCACTCCCTGAGTGTGTAAACTGCATTGGGGATGAGTATGGAAGGCTTGACTATCTTGAGAACACAAATATATCAAATTATGCCATTTTTCACAAGGAATATCACTTCTAATTGGGTTATCTCACCCTCAGCACTGCTGACATTTTGGGCCAGATAATTCTTTGCTGTGGGGGTTGTCCTGTGCATTGGAGGATGTTCATTACCAGCCCTGGCCTCTGTCTGCTGGATGCCAGTAGCATGCCCCCAACTATGATAGACTGAGTTGTCTGCAGACGTTGCCAAATGTCTCCCAAGGGCAAAATCGCCTCTAGTCGAGGATCACTATTCTAAAATACATAACTAATTAAAATAATGAATAAAACTGGCCATAAACTTAATTCTGCTTCCTCCTCTGCTTCTTCCCATTGTGTCTTCTACAGCAGCGCCAGCATGTCTGGGCAGGTAGTGTGGAGGCTTAGGGGCAGAGATGCCCCTGAGTGAGGTGCACCTTCTCTCTGCCCCTACACCAGGTCATTCTGTGTCTTACTTACCCATTCAGTGAACTTTTACTGAGCACTTATACCCTTGGAAAAAGATCCCCGATCCTGTGAACTTATAGTTAAGGTGAATTGGCAGATACTAATAAGAGAAAAGTATAAATATTAGAAACATCCCATAATTTTTGGCTACGTAAATCTGGGGGTTTCTGTTATTATTTTGATGTTACTGTGAAGCTAAGTAGTACATTATGATTATGTTTTCTTTCTTAACTCCTGTATTTTTCCTTTGAGCAAATAATTGTCTTTTAAAAAAAACTTCTATCTCCAGAGGCAGTCATTTTCAACTCTTCGCTCTGACTTATGATATTTACTTTGTTTCCAAATATTATGCTTCTGCTATTTCTTAGGTTTATCAACTTTAGACATTATATATTGACTTCCAATAATGATAAATGAGAACTTGTTTGATACACTCCTGAGCTCTTTTAAGAAACTACTCTGTCCTCCCCCTGAGGGGTCTTGGCTTCAGGGACTGTTTGTTCCCAGAAGTGTGCAGCACAGTGGGGTCTGGCTGGAGGATTGTAAAGTCCCAGACAGGTTTGGGGAGGCTATGGAGAGGGAGAGGCTCGGAAAGCAATCCCATAACATTGTTTAAGAAATGCTGGGTTAACCCTCAGGCTGCCTGAGTCTGACCCTGAACTACAGTTCCAAAGACCCTGAGAACTGACTGTGGCTAGGCCTCCAACCCCGTTCCAGAGTTTCCCTGGGTGGATCACATGCAGGAGGGATCTGAAAAGCATTGCACAGGGGCTGACAATGCATAGAAGGCTGGTTGGAAACTGTGGTCTGAACCCATTGAGCTGATTCGTGACGAAACAAAAATATCACCATTCTCCACAGAATTTAAATGAGACTCAGAGTCTCCTAAGATAGGATTCAAAATGTCTGTGATATAATCTAAACGTAATTGAGATGCAAAGAGCCAGGAAAATCTCAACTTTTAGAGAAAAGACACTCAACAGACACCAAAACATTCAATGTAAACACCAATCAAAAGAAAACAGGAGGGCAGCCCGGGTGGCTCAGCGGTTTAGCGCCGCCTTTGACCCAGGGTGTGATCCTGGAGCCCCAGGATTGAGTCCCGCATCGGGCTTCCTGCATGGAGTCTGCTTCTCCCTCTGCCTGTGTCTCTGCCTCTCTCTGTCTCTCTCTCTCTCTGTCTCTCTGTCTCTCATGAGTAAATAATCTTTTTTTTTAATTTTTTTTAATTATTTATTTATGATAGTCATATAGAGAGAGAGGCAGAGACAAGGCAGAGACATAGGCAGAGGGAGAAGCAGGCTCCATGCACCGGGAGCCCGACGTGGGATTCAATCCCGGGTCTCCAGGATCGCGCCCTGGGCCAAAGGCAGGCGCCAAACCGCTGCGCCACCCAGGGATCCCATGAATAAATAATCTTTAAAAAAAAAAAAAAAAAAAACCAAAAGAAAACAGGAGTGGCTGTATCAACACCAGACAGAGTGGACTTTGGAGCAAAGGAAATTTTCAGGAATTAAGAAGGATATGACATATGATAAAAAAGTCAATTAACCAAGAAGACATAGCAGTCCTAAAGGTGTGTGCATCCAGTATAGGCAGAGCTTCAAAATACATAAAGCAAAAACTAATTACTAGAAGTGAAAGGACAAATAGACAAACTCATAGTTATAGTTGGAGACTTTAACATCGCTCTAAGTAAACCAGGGAACATAGAGAAAATCACCGAGGACATGAAACAGCTAAAGGACATCATGAACCGTCTGGATCAACATGATGTCTACAGCACCCAACAGCAGCAGAACACACAGTCTTTTCTAGGGCACAGGAAACACTCAGCCAGACCACATCCTGGGCCATAAAACAAATCTTCATGATTTCAAAAGAATTGGAATTATATAGGGTACATTTTTCGGTCATAACAGAATTTAACCAGAAGTCGGTAACAAAGATAAGATTAAAAAGTATAGGCATTTGAAAAGTAAATAATACATTTCTAAATAACCCATAGATCAAAGAGGAAGACTCAGGAGGAAATAGAGGATGTTTTGGACTGAACAAAAATGAAAATACATCAAAAGGTGGAGGATGCACTTGACATGTGCTTCCAGGGAATTTGATAGCATTAAGGGCTTGTGTTGGAACAGAAGAATGGTCTTCATTCAGTAATCTTATCTTCTACTTTTAGGAGCTTGAGAAAGAGGAACAGGGACGCCTGGGTGGCTCAGCAGTTAAGGGTCTGCCTTCGGCTCAGGGCATGATCCTGGAGTCCTGGGATCAAGTCCCACATCGGGCTGCCCGCATGGAGCCAGCTTCTCCCTCTGCCTGTGTCTCTGCCTCTCTCTCTTTGTGTCTCTCATGAATAAATAAATACAATTAAAAAAGAGAAGAACAAAATAACCCTAAATCCAGCAGAAGAAACAGAACAGAATAAAGAACGAAAACAGAGGAAATCAATGAAACCAAAAACTGAGGCTTTGAAAAGATCAATAAAATTGATAAATGTCTAGCAAGAGCGACAACAGGAAAGGAGGACTCAAACTGCTGATGTTAGGAGTGGAAGAAGGACCAGCACTACTGGCCCCACAGGCATCAAACAGACAGCAAAGGAACACTGTGAGCAATTCTGTGCCTGTAATTTGCCTTGGCAATTTCAATGAAATGGATCAGTTTATCTTAAATCAGAAATGATCAAAACTCACTCAGGATGATGTAGACAACCTGAGTAGTCCTATGACCATTATAGAAACTGAATTCGTGACTAAAACACTGTTGAGAACATCCAGGCCTATTCACTGTGAATTCTACAGAATGACTTAAGGAAGAGAAAGAAGAGTAGTTTAATATAGTCTCCCCCAGGAAATAGAAGGATGGGAACATCTCCTAATTCATGTAATGAGGCTTGTGCTGCCCTGATAATAAAACCAGAGACAGCATAAGAAGACCATGGACACGTGTCCTTCATGGACACAGATGCAAAATAACCAACAAAATGCTAGCAAATAGAACCCAACAATGTGGAAGGAAGACTAAGCCATGACCAAGTGGGGGTTTATCCCAGAAATGCAAGAAATCAATAAATATAATTCACCATACTAATAGCCTAAGGGAGATGAACTGTATGACACATGAAAGGCATTTGATAAGATTTATTTAACACTGACTTATGATAAAAACTGTGAGCATAATAAGAGTAGAGGAGCAGTCCCTCTTCCTGCTCGGGGGGCATCCACACAAACCCATCAGTGAGCAGCCTATGGAGTGGTAAGAGTTTGGGTGCCACCCCCCCAAGATCAGGGATAAGTGAGGGATAAGTGAGGGATAAGTGAGGGATGTGCACTCAGTGTTCAGCATCATACTCAAAGTCCTAGCCAGGGCGTTAAGGCAAGAAGACAAAATAAAAGACACATAGATTGGAAAGGGAGAAACAGAACTGTACTTGCTTGCAGGCAGCATGATTGTGTGGAAAATCCCAAGGGATCTACAAAAACCTGCTAGAATGAATTAGTGACTTTATTGAGGTTGCAGGACACAACAGGAGATCAAGATAGAAAAATCAATCTTTTCTGTATATTAAGAATGGGCAGTTGATGAACAAAATAAAAAAAAAAACAGTATTACTTATCAAGGCCTTCCCACAGTAAGATAAATCTAACACAGTGTGTACAGGATCTGTCTGTTGTGAACTGTAGCATATTCCCTTTGCTGCATGTCACAGTTCTCGTGTGGTTACTCTTGGGTGAGATCACAGAGGACCCTAAGTAAATGGAGAGACACAGCATCTTTATGCATGGGAATATTCAGTGTGTTGAAGATAGAAATTCTCCCCTAATTCATGTACAGATAATGTAATTTTTTTCAAAATTCCAGTAGGATTTTTTTTTTTTTTTGGTCTACATGTAGAGAAACTGATCCTAAAATTTATACAGAAAGTCTCAGGAATTAGAAGAGTCCAAAGAACTGTGACGATAGCAGTGATGTTGGAGGAATCCTTCCCCACAGTTTGACACTTGGAGTAGAGCTGCGACAACCACTGTAAGGTGCTGTTGCTGTGGGATTGGCATATAAATTGGGAGCCGAGTACTCTAGAAGTAAACCACGGTGTCCTATAGTATTAAATATACACGTACCACGTGACCCAGCAATCCTGTTCCTAGAGATATGAAGACTTAGGTTCACATGGACACATGTACCCCGGTGTTTGTAACCACCCAAACTGAAAGGAGCCTAAATGTGCTTAAATGGATGAATAAACCATGCACATGGTACCATAGAATACTGCTCAGCAGGAAAAGGAACCAACTATTGATACGTACTACTTACTGGGATGAGTCTCATCAGCATTATGTGGAGTGTAAGAAGCTAGGCTTAATTATATATCCTTGGGTTCCGTGTCTGTGGCATTCTGGAGAGCCGAGGCTGCTGTGACAGGGAGCAGCTCAGAGACGGGGGGTTGGGGTCAGACTGGGGCAACACGAGGGATTGTTTGGGTGATGGAGCCACGCTGCACCCCGACTCTGGTAGTGGGTACATGTGTTGAACAGAACTATATACCAACATTTAAAAGGTCAGTTTTGCATAGGTTTGTTTAAAAACATGCAAAACTGGGGAAATGTAATTTCTCCTTGAGTAAGAGCCATTCTATGCTAATGTGGTCTTCTGGGATTTCAATGCCACGGCTGATTGTTTCTGCTCAGAAAGTGACTTGATTATGATCTGAGAACCCGGGGCTTCAGGAATCCCTGGTTTTATGTAGACTTTGGGCCTGGTTGCATTGTAATAGAAGGGCACCGATGAAAGGAGGCAGCTGCCATTGTTCTTGTTTTGATTGTAGGTGCAGCAAGTGGAGTCAGGGACTGTCCAGTTCCACTTCTCGCTGAGCCCTGAGGGACACCTGGACACACCCAAGGGGCTGGTCCACAGCCCTGAGGCGGAGCGGCAGCCCTCCAGGAAGCCACCCACATCTCCTACAAGTAAGTGTTTGCAGAGAACTGACTTTTTGAGCACATAGCATGACTTCCATCTGTTCTTAAGGAAAAATACTTAGTCCAGTACAATAACAATTATCAGATAATTGCTACAGATTGCTTTAATTGGAGTCATTTGGTTGAGCTTTTGCTTAATACAGGGATGTAGAATTGGACAGTGACAGAGGGTGGCCAAGTGCGTTGTCACCTGTGTCTTGCAGCCCCCTGACTAGAGGCTTGTGGAAGGCTCTGCCAGTGACACCTAATGGGCACTTGGCATGGGAGTCCTATAGACGCAGCGTTGAGAGTAAGAGTTTGACCGAGAGCCACGGGCTGCCATCTCTGGGTGGTGTTGTTAACGTGCTGTACATTTGTTGTTTAGAAAAGGTGCTTTTTACTCCCTTGAAGCATTCCAAGAATGGGGTGTCTGATCTCAGCTGGCGACTTTGAGGAGAGTGAGGGCTACCCTCAGAGCAACATCTTCCTGGGGGCAGTGATGTGTCTGCATGTGTGCAGGTGGCAGAGGAGTGAAGGTGGCTGTCAGCCTTGTGTCTGACTGGCCTAGCACCTGCTGGTCAGGGCCTCTTGGCTTCTGCCTCACAACCCCTAAGGACCATAAGGACCCCTAAAGACCCCTGTGCCAGCATCTGACTGAGAAGCCCATGGGTCAGGCCCCTGCAGAGCTGATGTCAGAGGGGTGTTGGTGAAGTTCACTTGGCAGGGCACTGAGCCTCAGGCACCTGAGGCTTCTAGAGTCTGCTCCAGCTGGAAGAATGTTCTAGATATAGGAAGTTAGTCTCTTAGAAAGTTAGAAAGGTAGGGACTGAACTAATGTATAAGCCCACAGCGGGGAGCTTAATCCTATCCATCTTCCCCATGGGTGCTTCTCTGTCCCCAGGGAGGACTTACTGGGGTCTCGGCTGCAGGTCCTGGCTGCTGGAGCAGAGGCACTAGTGGGTCCGGGACTCATTTGGGACTGATTTTTTCTGAGTTGAGAATCTAGTTAATGGAAGGTGGTATTGTTGAATTTAATTTTACTGTTGGTGGAAGCAGTCCCCTTATTTCTTTGGCCTGGACCTGGACATGCTGGCCACTGTCTTCATGATCTTCCAAGGTTTTCTGAGGTATCTGAACATATTCAGGTGCCAAACAGTCCGTAGCTTTGGGACAAACCACATCATTGAGTATTTTCCTTCTTCTCAAAAAGGCAGTGCATTTGATGGTTTTAGTTGTTTTGATCTTTCAATTTTTGAATATTGTGCTCATCACATTGCTCTTGGGATTGCTGTTTACCACCAGTGTGTCCGCTAATAACCACTCTTACCAGTGTAGCCCTGAAAACGTCCAGCACCACAGCCCCGAGGCTGTTGCCAGGATATCTGCTGGAGTCCCTGCAGTGGTGGGCGGAAGACATGGATTATCTCTCAGGGTTTGTTTAGAGTGTTTCCAGTTTTACTTAATAAAGTCGAATGCATTGAAGGCATAGAACATACCGCTTAAAAATACTAAACAAAGGATACAATTTATTTCCCACTCATTCTCTCCTGTAAATCTAGCATCTCTTCCTTAACATATATTCATAGTTACATTTAAAAAATAAAACAAGGGGTACCTAGGCAGCTCAGTCGGTTAAGCATCTGCCTTTGACTCAGAGCATAATCCCAGGTCCTGGGATTGAGCCCCTCATTGGGCTCCCTGCTCAGTGGGGCGTCTGCCTCTCCCTCTGCCCCTCACCCTGCTTTTGCTCTCTCTCTTTCTGAAATAAATAAATAAATAAAATCTTTAAAAAAATAAAAATAAAAATACAGCAAATAGTAAGCTCTGAGAAAGGTAAATATGAAAGATAGTATTCCAGATTATAAAAATAGGTAAATGTTATGATTAAATATTTTGGATTAAGCTACTCAAAAAGGACACTAGTGAAATGTAGTATGTGTAGTTCACCTGTGTCTGTGGAAATGCCAGAATAGATCATGTCCTTGGAGGACATGCCTGTACAGGTAGCTTTTATGGGGAAGATATACTGACTTTTCCTGGAAAGGAGTTTTCAAGGGTTAGTTTATGGTGCCACTGTGGTGCTGGAAGCAAGCAGCTGGTTTGTTTGAAGACCTTCTAATCAAATTAATTCTAAACAATGATGGAATTGCCTTATCACTTGGCTGCTTGGGGCGAACACTGGCTGTACCCGCTGTGGCTCTGCGGTCTGCAGGCTTGGGTCTCATTTTCCCAATTGCCTTGACTGTTGTGAACAGATCTGGGCTTTAAACCCAGTCTGCTGCTTGCTCTGCTTCCCAGAATTATGTTAATTTATTTTTATTTTTATTTTATTTTTAAGTTATTTTAAAAAGATTTTATTTATTTATTTGAGAGGGAGAGAATAGGAGTGTGCAGTGCACCCATAAGTAGGGGGTGGGCAGAGGGAGAGAGAGAAGCAGACCCTCCGCTGAGCAGGGAACCCGACCTGGGACTCAATCCCAGGACCCTGAGATCATGACCTGAACCCAAATCAAGAGTCAGACACTTAACTGAGCCAACCAGGTGCCCCAATTCTGGCTCAGTTTTGATTGAGTCATTTTATCTAATTTGGGTTGTATTTTCCTGTTTATCTGCCATCAGTATTTTTTATTGGATTATAGATATAGTGAATTTTCTTTGATTGAGAGTGCTAAATAGGTTTGTATTTGATGAATACTTTTGAGCTTTGGAAACAGTTTGATCCTTTGGGCTCTTGCCCTTAAGTGTTGTTAGGTGGGACCAGACCAGCTTTTAGTCCAGGGCTAATTATTCCCCACGACAAGACCCCTTTGTGTGCTCTGCCTGACATCTCCTGAATTACGAGGTTTGCCAGTTTGGGCTATGCAGTAAGTCTATTTCTGCCCCACGTAAGCACTGGGGACTGTTCCAATGGCTCTGGCCCCAGCATTGGGTACTTTCCTGACCAGTCACCTACTGAATTCTAGAGGGGAGCCTCTGTAAATGACCAGAGCTCTCTTTCTGTGCACCTTGTCTTGTCTGGCACTTGGCCCTGCAAATGGGAGCTTCCTCGGTCTTCTTGGACATTCAGCTCTGTTTTCTCCACTGGGGGCCCCTGGTGCCCCGTCTCCCTGTACTGTGGCCCACAGACTCATTAGCTGCTGAGAGTTGGGGCGGTTTCAGGGCCTGCTTCTTTTGTTTCCTGTCCCTGAGGATCACTGTCCTTTGTTGCCTGAATTCTAACGTCTTGAGGCCAATTGTTTCATATATTTTGTCCCTTTAAAAAATTTGTTTCATGGGGCGGTCAGTCTGGTCCCTATTTGCTTACTCCACGTTGGTGGGAAGCAGATGTCTTTGCCTGATGTCGGTGATTTCTGGGCTGCTGAGATCCTCCACCCCAGGCCTGATGGTCTAGTGGTTTTGAAAGTTTTCCTGGCTGCTCTGTGCTGCTGTGATTCACCAGCTATGTTGTGTGTTTTCATGACTTCTGAGTTGGGCTCATGCTCTATGCTGCATTGTAGTCCCTCATGCACTGCATTTATTTTACTTTGAAATAGATTCTTTTTTTTTAAATTAAAAAATTACATGGTCAAGAATAGCCAAGGCAATTTTGAAGTAGAAAAGAGGCTTCAGTTTTCCTAATTGACAGATTTATAGTTATAGTAACTAGAACGGTGTGGCATCGGGGCAGAAATGTACAGATAAGAAGACAAAGAGTGTGATGACTGGACACATTATAGATGAGTGTATTACTTTACTCTTATTGTTGTAACAAATTACCATAAATGTAAAATGGCTTAAAATAGCATGCGCTTGCTGTCCCACAGTTCTGGAGGTCAGAAGTCCAAAAGGGGTCTCACAGGCTAAGGTAGAGGTCTTGGTGGGGCTGGTTCCTTCCGGAGACTCCAGGGCAGGCTCCACCTCCTTGCCTTTTCAGCCTCTAGTAGCCTTTGGCTCCTTCTCCCCTCTTCGAAGGCAGCAGTGCAGTTTCCAAATCTCCCTCTGACTCTGATCCTCCTGGCTCCCTGGCACTTACCAGGACCGCTATGACTGCTATGATAGCATTGGGCCCACCCGAACATCTAGGATGGTCTCTCCGATCAGCAGCCATGATTACCGGCAGTGCAACATCACATTGCCAGGCTCTGGGGGTTAGGATGTGGGTATTTCTGGGGTAGGAAACATCGTTCTGCTTACCACCAGGAATAGGGATGGACCAGTCACTTAACAGTGCAGGAATGCTTATCCATAAGGAACATATAAAATTAGATCCTAATTTCATATCTTGTACAAAAATAAATTTTAGGTGGATTATGAAATAAAACTTTAGAAATTTTAGAAAACTCTAGAATTAGAAGATTAGAAAGAAGAAAGGTTATAGAAATAGGTGTTCCAAATCAATAAGAAATAACAGTAACAGGAAAGAAAAATGGGCAAAGCACATGAATAGGGGATTTCTATGGAAGAAGCCAGAGGGGCCCGTAAGCATGAGACAGGGCTCAGTATCAGTCGTGATCAGAGAAATGCACAATAAAATGAGGAATCATCTCATACTTCACAACTGGAGAAATGTAGCTGCCTCATATACAAGGTTCATGAGGATGCTCATGGGGAAGAAGGGTCTTTCCACGCAAGCAGGAACGCTATATGGACAGCTGCTTTGAAGAGCAATTTCATAATATTTAGTTCGTACCCTGCTACTCAGAAGTGCTGTTTCTAGACACCTGTTGTTGAGAGCAGCTGGTTCCTGGGTACATGGTGGCCTGCTCACTCCCCCCCCTGGGAGTGGATAAACGAGCTGGTGTATTTGTATGACCAGATGCCGTATAGCAGTCAGAATGAACCAAGAAGGTCTTTGCATGTCCTCAGGGGTGAATCTTCAAGACCACGTGAGGAGTGAGGACAAGTTCTGGAAGGAAGTGTACAACGCGGTGGCTTTCAGTAACTTTGAGAATAGTTGCATGTATCATTGACTGGTGCATGTGTGCTAATTGGATGACCCCGGACCCCTTGCTGACTGTCTCTCTTCCTCA